GCCACTACTGAATAAAGCGCTGATCAACAATTAGTTACGTCATAGAGCTATGTACAAAACCATAGAAGCTATATATCATCCGGAAACAGATTTTAAGACAACAAATTGATAAAGGCAACCAGGATATGATCCATGAAAATGGGTCATATCCCATTTATTATTCATCATTTATCCCGATAGACTGACGTTGAAGTTATCCGGAGCCGCAATACCTGTGTCCAGCGATGCAAAGAAGGATCAAGAAATCCGTCGAAAAAGCCAAGCGGAATTTAAAAAGCACATAAGTGACAAACCATGCTTTCGCATCATGCTTGCGTTTTGCTTGATTTGCTTCGTACGAGCGGTATTACCCTCTGGCATTTTGATGTGATAGATTTCGTGTCGGTCTGGAGGAGGTCGCCCCTTGCGTTGCTCACTGCTTGAGGATCCATTCACCGATTTCTCTAGAGTAGTTCCATCGATCGAAGAAACCTTTATAACATATTGATAGAGGTGGAGGACCAGCTTAACAAATTGGAAAACATAAAAAGAACATAAGTTCAGATGAACATAATGGGAAGCAAGGCCATTGAACACCGTTCCCTTTAAACCAAATCACATGCTGAAGATGGCCGACTGGCCGACCTTGACTAAAGAAGGGTTATTCAAACGAAGGCCCTTGATAGTAGTTATTCGGAAATTCTCGTGATCAAGCCCAAGCTTATAGACATTCAATACATAGATAAGATAAATTTCAATAAATTGTCAATATGTAACCTTATACGCATCCATCATTATGTTCTGTATGAGTTAATTAAGTATATATGATGTTATTATTGACAGCAGCATCTGGATGATGCTGTCTCGTTACTTATAAGTAATAAAAAAGTTAATATTGAAGAAAAACTCACCAGCTCCTGGTCCTGGAATGTGTACGCGAAGTTTCGCTGGAGAATCAATTTCTGTTTCGTACGTTTGATCTTTTGCATGCCTCAAGATCGCCAGCTAAAAGGTCAAGCACTAGAGAAACACCCAGAATTGACTGCAACAATTCAGCTGATATGCAACACAAAATCTACCCGGTTACCAACTAAGAAACATGGCGCAAGACAAACTCACTTGGTCACCAACAGCTGTCACTCCCAAGTCAGCTAATGTAGCCTTGTCAAGATCGGGAAGCATATCTTCTGAGACTCTGAAAATGAATAGTACCTATTTTGCCTGAATATTTCAGCATAGCGAGATGAAATACTTGACGGGATACCGATTTTGACGAAGAAACTTTGCCAATCCCGCATTCTGACTTTAGTGGATCGGCCACGGAGCTAATATGGTCAAATTAACAATAGGAAAAAAACAAAAAAGCTACACAAACGAAAGCCAAACCGATCCACAGATATACATACACTCGATTTACATAATGCATCAAGAACTTAGATATGAAAGGTTCCAGGTAACCTTTTCGCAAAAAGAAAAAAAACGTAAAAAAGCGAACAATATATTTTTCGAAAGAACCACTTAAACTGGTCAAATTTGACTGAAGAAAAAAGATCAGGACGAGATATTTCCAGAACCTGAAGCGTATGGCGAGGATTGCACAAAAAATGGTAAAATAGAGACAACTACCGAACTTTTTCCTGCTTGACTTGATTACCTTTCTTCAATTTTTGACGAGTACATGGAGCTGAAAACTATTCTAAGAGGTCATCAATACACTTCTTCATGAATGTGATTTTGATTCCGTATCAAGAAATAATTGTGTTACACGGCCAATGAACCCATAAGCAAAATGAGGATTGCTAATATGTACATAGCCGTATCTGAATAATCTACAACATATATTCTATTCTAATCTTCTAAGACTTCAAAAGTAAAAAAATAAATGAGCTTATCTCGATTTTAATGTTCTGGAAAAACCCGCTGACGTTTCAGAGGACTGTTGTCTAAGGCTTGGTTCTTCGGCGTTTGCGTAGAACGGTAGTGGCGACGAGAACAGCCTCAGGCAAGACTTTCACCTGATTAATCTTATCTGCTTTCAACGTGACCCAAAAATCAAGGAGAGACCTTCTCGGCAGCAGCTCCTTCTCGGATTTCAGAACCCTAAACAACAGTTAGTCCATATGGTTTATTCCTCACAACCCATACCTTTCAGGAATATTGCTGCTATTGTTGTAACGAGAAGTTAGTGCAATATACAGGTGATTAATAGTTTAGGCTAAGATTGAGCAAAATAATGAATCAACATATGGTTTAAAAACATTTCCAACGAGCTAGAATGGTCGGATAAAGGCCTCCAATACTGGCACAAAAATGATGGTTCCAGAAGGTTCTTTCGTGATTGGATTCAGCCAAATTCAGGGCCATGTTTGACCAGAACAGTAATTACGCAGCCATATCCAATATTATTGATGATTTAGGCGGATCGTATGTTACTGAATTTTCTACCTAACATGATGGGCAATGGCAAGGAATTTAATACGGGCAGGGAATAGGTAGTATTGATGATGCTAAACAAGAGGAAGTAAGAAAAGTGAACATTATATTAGATATAGGTGAATCCAGTGCGACTCCAAGGAAAAAAGCCTGCCTGGAGAACAAAGACAAAATGGCGCACTCTCCTTTCAGTCCTTAATAAAAATGAGTCCACGTGGGTCACCTCCCCTATTGATCACAAAGATTAACGTATGAATAAAAAGTATCGAAAAAAACAGAAACAGAGCAGAGGGAGGCACTTTATTGGTGGGAAGAACTATTCAGAGCACCCCTTCCTTTTTGCTCGCAGTTCTGCGAAGACGTCACAATAACAACAAACAGTTTCTGGACAAATGACTCATTCGGAATTTCTGGATTTAAAAAAATGCAAAGTGAACAGCTACTCACGAAATGCTCAAATTCAGCTGAACAGTTTCACACATCTCTGCTGGATCTCGTGCTAAATCTTGATCCATGAAGTAGTTGTGATTTGCAAAACCGTGGTCACTGAAACAAACTTTCTTCGTGGTTACCGGTTACCTACCGTGAAATTCCACTTCTAAAAGCTCAATGAGTTCATTCAGCCCATTTTTTCAAAGCTGTCAATTCAGAAAAAAAGATAGAAAATTATAAAAGCGAACTAGAAAACAAAAACTATAAAGTTCTGTTTCGATCATAGACAGCGTACACAAAACTAATTTTAGAGCAGCACTTTGAACGTAAATGACTGACTTATCACAACAGCAGGATAAGCTGCTAGACCACTCCACGTCTTCAACACTGCAAATACCCTCTTCGACCCATTCTGCCGGTCCAACCATATCTAAGTCTGACAAGTTGCTGTAAAAGATTCTTTAGAAAAAAATTCTTTCAATTTCTCGTAAAGTAATTCAATAAAAACGAAAGAGCTCTTGAATAACCTGTGAATGTAGTGAATCAGCGTTTTCGGAACATTGCCAATTATAATGAATTCTCTGGTACAGTGAGGAACACGAATTATCTCCTAAAGGAACAATGGTGAACTACAATCAAGCAAGCCTGAGTGATAATGTACAGGTCACCTTGAGGAAGGCGAAAAATTCGGTGTAGTCCAAATCACAGTCGGGAATTTCTATTACGAAGTCTCTAAGATCATAGTTCGGGATAGATGGTAAGCTGGAAGTAAACGAGCGATGAAAAGTTTAAGAATGGGATAAACTTTACCGCAGTCTGTATTTGACCTGACCTATTTTTTGCTGACCACCCCGTCCTTTTTCGAATAAAATTCGACCTCTACTAAACTAAGACATCGCTAAACTTATGACCTCTCCAAGTAATCAAGTAAACCCATCCTCAATTAAGAGTGCTATCAATAATGATTATACTAGCTAACCTTGTTGAATTCTAACCTTACACTCCCGCGGATCACACAACTACCGGAGCATAAGATATTAGTATTACAGTGTCATGGAGATGACCAAGAAAAATTACGGAGCCGCAGCGAGTTCTGATCATCACTCACTTTTGCAGGTCTTTTCGAATATCCGGGTAGCGATTGTACCAATTGTCCACAATTTTCCGAACTGTTATTCCAGACACTCTGGTTCTGATATCCATATCAGTATGATTGAGGCCAATGAATAGTCCGTACAAAGAGGAAAGTGGCAGGACCTGAATAGACACTACAAAATTATAAAATATTGAGTCACTGAAGTCAATGAACACTATTTTTTGAATGCGCTCTCGCATTCGACTCTCACCTCAAATGGTAGAGGTATTTTGAATGTGGCCCATCCAATGACTTGCGGTGGCCAGCCGATGTTCAATTCAGGAATTCTACCTTCTCAGACAAGTCTGTTACCAACCAACTGACTCCGAAGGAATGGAAGACGTGGTCGGCGTGGGTGGTTATCGGCCCGGGATTCGACCCCGTAACCATACGTGTATGAAGTGCCCGCTTTCGGTAAGCTTCAAAGTATGCACTTTTAATAATATTTATTCTTAGTACTAGATAATGCACGGAAACCCGGGCCATGTGATAACGCGCCACTTGCCACTACACCACCTTCACCAGGAAAAAAAACTTGGATCAATAAAAAAAGAGCATAAAGTGGCACTTTTACTTTAAGAGTCGTACGTGGTCGATGAAGCGGAGGTCGAGTGGAGAGGAAAGGAGGGGTTAAGCGTAGCAGTCCAACTCTTTTCGGGTGTTGTGATCTCAACCATAAAAAACATGAAATACATCTCAAGCGTTTAGAACGGGGAAATGATAGATGTATCCCAAACAGGGGTACTATACTACTATTACACCCCCAAAAACTCAAAATTTTAATTTTCGATGAAACTTCGCCTGTAGGGGTAATCCAATGCCCTGATGACGAACATGACCTTCATTTTTGGCGCTGGCGCCATTTGGCGCCAAGGGTGTTTTCACCAAATCTGCTAAAACTTGAATGAATTGCCGCCAAGTGACGCCAGCGCCAGAAACCAACGTTATATTCGTTATCAGGACCTCAAATAAACCCAAGACGCAAGTTTTCAGCAAATTTGGCGAAAATACCTTGGCTCCAAATTGCGCTAATTGGCGCAAATGGCGCCAGCGCCAAAATGAAGGTCATATTCGTTATCAGGACCTCAAATAACCCCTAGACGCAAGTTTTCAGCAAATTTGGTGAAAACACCCTTGGCGCCAAATTAGCGCTAATTGGCGCCACCGCAAAAAATGAAGGTCATATTCGTTATCAGGGCATCGGATTACCCCTATAGGCGAAGTTTCAACGAAAATTAAAACTTTGAGTTTTCGGGGGTGTAATGGTAGAATAGTACCCAAACAGGGGATTGACATCAGCGATCGACCTTTACTACAACATCGAATTTGAGTCAAAAAAAGAAGCAGAAGTAAAGATTGGCGGTAGAAATGTGGTTATCATTAACTTATAATAAATACCTGATCACATATAATACTCCTATCGAAACGACCGGCTAAATGTAAGCCGAACGGTGATAAATGCTTGAAGAAATCGCCCAAAGCTGATTCACCCAACTGTAAAAAGAAAAACATTGAAGAAAGAAAAAAGATAAACGCAATTTGTACCGAACATATGTTCATTTCCAAAGCGAGTACACTGCTTCGTAAAGGTCCAACACATTTTCTGATGAGAGCTTCCTTATTATGATCAAAATCTTTGCATTTTATGTACATCTGTTCTGGAACCATCACGAAGAAATAATTCGTAAACTCTGATGAGAATTGTTTCTCCTATAAAGTTGCTAATTATGGTCTTTGTAGATAGTATTGTAAGGTAGCTGTTCACCGTGAATTCCCATTTCTCCATTTTCTCAAGAGCCCGTTTTCGAGAACGTGTGAATGCAGACCGTCGACAACGTAAAAGTGTTATTCTTCTGCCAAATATTAGTTGTGCGATATCCCACTTCAATTCAGGTTTAGGCAATTTCGATTTATTAGAGAGTATGAAGCTTCTGAAAATTGATGTCAAAGTATGCAATTTATTCAAGAGGAACTTCTTTAATTTGGTTGGGAACACAGCACACTTTTATCGTGAAGGGTAATTACCGGTTTTTCAAGGTGATCCTACTTTATATAATTCGCTAAGTGTATCTGTTGGTGTGTCGGTGT